TAAAAAATACCAAATATCATTGCACAGCTCTATCTCGGGTATTTGTTGCCCGATTTCCTAATAACATATCATTTTCGTTATGTACTTTTGAGGTCTTTCGATCTACATTCAAAAATATAGGTTCCAAATTTATTTAGTTTTTGGCCAAAATTGTGATGTAACCCCTAAACATATTGACCAAAATCGGATCGAGTCGCAAAGTTAGTCAAGCTCTAACTTTGGTACTTCATATTTTGTGGCCTTTTCATCCGATTTTCAAGTGGAATGCCTTGTTCGACGCGTATTTATTCGTAGTATCAGATTGCAATTAAAAATATTCCTGGACTTATGAACTTTTGGACGAATGCACACAAAACCGAAAAGTACTGAAAAAATACTAAAAAAATACCGAAAATTATAGCACAGCTCTATCTCGGGTATTTATTGCCCGATTTCTTAATAACATATCATTTTCGATATGTACATTCGAGATCTTTCGAATTGCATTAAAAAATATAGGTTCCGAATTAATGTAGTTTTTGGCCAAAATTGTGATGTAACCCCTAAACATATTGACCAAAATCGGATCGAGTCGCAAAGTTAGTCAAACTTTTAACTTTGGTACTTCATATTTTGTGGACTTTTCATCCGATTTTCAAGTGGAATGCCTTGTTCGACGTGTATTTATCAGTTTGCATACAAAAATATTCCTGGACTTATGAACTTTCGGATGAATGCACTCAAAACCGATATATACCGAAAAAATACTAAAAAAATACCAAATATCATTGCACAGCTCTATCTCGGGTATTTGTTGCCCGATTTCCTAATAACATATATTTTCGATATGTACTTTTGAGGTCTTTCGACCTGCATTCAAAAATATAGGTTCCAAGTTTATTTTGAAATTTTGGCCAAAATTTTGATATCAAATCGAATTGATAAAAATCGGATCGAGTCGAAAGTTAGTCAAGCCTTTAACTTTGGTACTTCATATTTTGTGGCCTTTTCATCCAATTTTCAAGTGGAATGCCTTGTTCGACGCGTATTTATAGTTATATCTCGGGTATTTATTGCCCGATTTCATTTCATTTTCGGGTTGTGGAATATTTTCAGAGTATCGTATCGATGATGTTTTGAGTTTTGAAAAAAAAAATCAATTTGATGCAACCTTAAAAATATCGATAAATCAATACATCTTTGATTTTTATTACTTTAAGGCAAAAATTCTTTTTGGCTGTTCAATTTTGAAAGTCAGAATGAATGAAAATGTATTCATTTTCATCATATTCAATATTTTCACATTTGCGCTTGGTTCTCTTATTAAAAGAGTGGCCAACGAAAGTATAAAGTATACAAAAT